CAGGACATTCGAGGTACACAAACTGTGACCCTGTACTCCAGACGACTGGCAGGAAAGGGGGGAGGAGTCCTCCAATGGAATAATTTGGGAAGTGCGGTAGACACTCTCCACTCTACCCCCTTACAGACTGACAAAGCGCATTGAGGAAGGAGTGCTCCAAGGGAATTGCACTCTGTAGTGAGTGCCTCTGTCTGCTCTGCATCCATCCATGTGCTTGAGAACTCTGTGCTGTGGCTTCCAGAGGCTCCGCTCTCCCTCTCTAGCTTCCTAGCATCGCCTCCGCCATCTTGACAACAGCCTCTCCAGACAGCTTTTCACTGTGAGGACCCACAGCCGATGTTTCTGGCTTCTCACTCAGATCTATTTCTTCTTGCTCCCATCCTGGTTTCCTGATTGGCTCAAATGTCTTCCTTCCACCATGCACGACATGCTCCTGAGGGATCACCGACTGCTCCTCAGCTGCAATAACCCTATGGTGATTACTTCCTGCCTGTTTGTGTTTTCCTGGGACCTGAGTGTAGCTTTTTTTTCCCTTCTTGAATCTTCCAGCAGTTTATTGGACCCTGAGTGGCCAGTATGTCATATCTGCAGTCTCTACTTACCAAACACATGACGGACATGGAAGAGAAAAGGAGCTGGACCAACTGGATCAAATTCATCTCTTCTGGACCTCCTGGTAGCTGAAGCAAGAAACTGATTTGTGCCAATTTGATTGAGGGTTTGTTTTTAAACTTGTCATTGAAGTCATCCAATGGATACAATCATTTCAATACAAAGACCTCCACCCCTATCTGGGAACCCTCTGAAACCTGGTTGGAACTTGTGTCCAGGAAGTACTTGCCTCATTTTGCCCAGCTTCTCGCTCGGCATTCCACCTCTGTACACAATTTTCCCATCCCATCTGCTTCATAGTGCTTCTCCCCACCCCCGTGCCGACCAGGGCCCACAGCCAATGGCTAGAGTTAGCATCATCTACCTGCCTGAAGGGGCCCCACACTGCCTCTTCACTGCTATCCTTCCTCCCAGGCCACTCTGGACCATTCTCAACACGGCAGTCCTGCCATGTCAGTGTCTGCCAGGTTCTTCCAAGCCTCTCAGCCGGAACTGGTTTCCATGAACTACAAAGGTCTTTTGTGGAGGTTTAAGCGGTCTATGATGAGTTTGTGTGTGTGTGTGTGCTGGAACTCCACAGCCTATGCAGAACTCCTCTCCCTCTCTGCTCAAACCATGCTTATCTCAGACTTTATGTCCTTCTGGAGTCAGCTCAGCCTCCAGCCTTAGCGTCTCCTGGAACACAGGCAAGACAGTGAAGAAGAGGGCGGGCGGAGGAGAGTTATAACGAAGCAGAGTGCATGGGAAGGGCCGTAAAGACGCTGAACTGTTTCAGATGGAAGGTCATAGGACCCAACTGAGACACTCTCCAAGTGCAGCAACCATTTGTTTCTTAGCTTCTTAAACCACGCCCACCACCTGTCGTCCCTCCTCTTCTGGCATGACTTGTACCCCAATGGGCAGGACAGTAAACAGCAAAGAGTGAGGCAGAAAATGCCCATGGCCCAAAAGTCATAATATATTTCTGTTTGCTGATGATCGACAAGTAACAATTTGGTTTAAGCGTGAACTCGTTTCACACATGTGAACCACATCTTTCCAGTTCCACGACACAACCTGCCTCCCGAGGCCATGTTAATCCACAGTGTTCAGTTCATGCTTTCTGCTCCCTGCCCTCCCCTTTCTTCTGAACTGTGTTTTACCCAGGGACTGGATGATGGAACACAGACTTCATGGAACACACTGGCTGGAATTTCTGATTGCTAGCCTCACTCAGATTTGAATGTAAAGAGTTTAGACAAAATGCTGGGAGGGGAGGGTGATTGCCAAATACCAGCTCCCTTTGTTTTCTTTAAAAAAAAAAAAAAAAACCTCGCTGATGGGTTGGAGTTAAAGTTTATGCTAGAATGCAGGGCTCTTTAACATGGAATTTGACAGCTTCCTTCTTTAAACAGCCCTCATTTATAGCTCACCCATGACTCCTTGGTAACAGCACATCTACGGAGACCCCTTTCTTAATGGGTCATTCTCCAGTTGCCACGGAATATTTTGAAATCAAAATATTACCTATTTTCTTAATCACTAGAAATAAATTAATCTGAAGTCTTGGGTACCTTCCATTCCACAGTTTTTGAAATGGAAAAAAAAATTCCATGTGATAGAATCCAATGACTTGAATTAATTTTGAATTCTAGTTTTCAAAGTATATTGGAAGAGACCACAGAGTCAGCTTCATAGGCATAGAAGGCTTAGCTGGTGGGGTGGCCCATTGGTTAAACCTATTGTGTGTGTTCAATCTCTGGGAAACAGGTGGATGGAAATAACCAACTCCTAAAAACTGCCCTCTGACACATATATGCTGTCAAATGTGAGTACGTGCGCATATGTGTGTGTGCGTGCATGTGCGCGCGCACAAACACACACACATACACGAGATTTTTTTATTAATCTAAACACCAAAAACAAAATTAGAAAAAGATTACAGTCTACTAGTGATTATAATTTGACTAGACAATATGTCAATCGCATAGTCAAAAGAAATGCTGGGGAAGGGGGAGAAACTCTGGGAAATAAAAAAAGACACTAAAGATGCTTTTAAAGGTCTCAGATGAAGCCACATCTAACGAATACAAAAAAGTAGAAGCTAGGAAGGCTCAAAAAACTGAAGGTGCTGAGTGGAAAGAGGGTGAATCCATATTAGACTTCAAAACTGATGCTTCCTGGGGAGTCTGAGGTTGGGACAGCTGGAGAGATAATGTACCTGCCCACTCCTTCTTTTATGGGGAACTGAAAAGTCTTATTTAAGATGAGACATTCCCAAAGCATCAGGGAGAACAGACCAGCACAGTCCGTGTCTAAAAGGAACCCATAACCAGCCACAGAACAGACTCAGTGGAACAATAAATCAAAGCAGAGAAGACAAACGCAGTGATGCAGAAGCCAAAGGCATCTCCAGTAAATCACTTCCCAGACTGAGTGCTCACCATTCACACCAGGGACCCTGCAGAAGCACAGCTTTCTCTTGACTCAGTCTTAGCTTCCTATACGTTAGGGGTCAAAAAGCCTCTCCTGTGTGGGAGTCTTGCCAAAGACCACGCTCTCTCTTCTGCACCAAGGCATCCTGAATTGACAGCAGAAACAGATGGGGGTAACTGTGTTCTAAGGCAATTTTATTAGCAGAAACTAGGTGGTGGAGTGGATTGGACCTGCAATCCTGTGTCACAGATGAGACCAAGCAAGGCCAGCACCACTATTAACTTTTAAAGAAGCAGCCCATTCTAAGGGTCCACGTTTAGTTAGAGGGAAGAGGTCCCTGTTTAACACATGTAAAAGCGGAAGTGGAGGGAAAGAAATCAGGATCCTAAAATAGCAAAGAGATGTTCACTTGACATTCTGAAGCTGTACTATAAAAGGGACAGAGGGGACAATGAGACCAAATGCTTCATTTTGTACTAGAGTTCTTCTGTTGGACTTGACATTCAGAGAGGAGCAGGTGACTGGGCCAGGGACTCTGTGGTTTCCTGAGTCTCGGTAGGCTGCCACTGAGGGTGAACACAATACAGTGACATCCACCTCCCTTGGTGAGGGAAGATCCCTGACCATCTGAATGCACTCTTTGTCTTTAGCCTCCCCAAATGTCTCTCTCCTCACCCCTCACCCCCAAGAAAAAAAACAAACAAGCCAACACAAAGTCACTTTAGCACAAAATTTTATTCTTTCAGACAGCATATGCCACCCAGGGTGCCTGGAAACACGACGTTAGTGACATTGGTAAATGCCCTTCATCAGAGGCCTCCACACTGTCAAGAGACACACGGCATGCATTACACTAGATAATTCAAAGTTTTACAGCCCATCCTCAACCACCTCATAACTGGCGAAGAGATTCATAGAATTTCAACTGGAAATTACCCACCCCCCCACCACACACACACAGCTGCCTTTTTCATTGACCAGGTGGTTAGTGAGTACCATTGTTTGAGTCTTGACTGTTACAAGGTTAAAGTTTTGGTCCTCAGCCTGTCGGTGCCATTAAGGAGGTGGTTGAGCGTTTAGGGAGTGAGGACTAGTGGGAAATTTTAGGACATTGGGAGCATGACTTTGAAGGGTACTGTAGAGACCTATGTGCACGCTTTCTCTCCCATCCCTGTTCTCTCCTTCCTTCCTTCACCCTTTTAAAAAGAAAATTTTATTTTTGTGTATTGAGTGTGTACCCATACATAAAATAGCTGTGTACCGCATGTTCGCAGCACTCAGAGGCCAGAAGAGGGCACTGGATCCCCTGGGACTGGGGTTATCAGTTAAGCGCTGCCATGTGAGTGCTGGGAATCAAACCTGGGCCCTCCAGGGGATCAGTTAGTGCCCATCCCTCCAGCCCATACTCTCTCCTTCTCAAGTCTCTGCTATGAGTGAGTGGCTCTTCACTCTCTAACACACACCTCAAACCAGGACGTACTGCAATCTCCAAAATCGCGAGACCAAACAAACCATCTATCTTTATAAGTGGATCATCTCAGGTACTTGTTACAATGATGGTAAGTTAACACAGTAGAGAAACGGCTTTCCCATGGGTAGAAGCATCAAATTTCACAGAGATGCTCTGAGCTAATCATGGAAGCCAGAGAGTCTGACCCAGCAGCCTCTGGGAGAGTCCATGAGAATAAAAAGTCCTTCTAGATGAAGGTCTGATCAGGTCAGGGTTTATCAAGCTACTGTATCCATCAACAATACTGGCGATCTTCTGACAGAAGTGACGGAGTGCAGTGCCCCTAGACACCGGAAGTTAGGCAGTCCACTTGGCACCCACCAAGTCCTCACGTTCAGTGCTGTGACCTCATGCAAAAGCATTTCAGTGAAGCAAACCTCTGCCTTCTACTTTGGGGTCCAATTTTCCTCTTTATTAAGTGAAAGACGGGCCTTCGCTCCCAAGTTCACCGCAGTTTCGGTCCGCAGTTTCGGCCTTGCGCTTTACAGTGCTGGTTTCTGTCCCTCTTAGGAACAGGAACATCATAGCAAGGGGAGCACGAAGAGGCAAGCCAGCACCGGGAGGTAGGGCGTGGGGACACTGCCGCCAGATGTCCTCTGTGCGTGCATGACGGCAAAGACCGCGTTCGTGTGGTTGGTCGGCAACTCGATATTGCAGACCATCCCCTCACAGCAAGACCTGCACTCCTGGAGAGGAAGGAGAGGGTCGGGAGTGAGGAGCAGGAAGCAGGGAACCAACAAAAGAAGGACAGAGGCTGGAGTGGACAGTCCAGCCTGTGCACAGACCAGCCTGTGGGTACCTTCCCCTGCAGGGGGTTGAGCTAAGACCATCCTGAGAGGCTTCACCCTAACTCTGGATGTTTCTGTGTCAAACCCAAGCATGCGTGAGGTGAAAAAGGGAAGCTGAATGAGGTTGTCTGAGTTGCCAAATCTTGACAGGTTTACTAGAAAAACGGTGAAGTCAAAGAAAAGTTAGGAACTTTCAGGACTTGTCATTGATTTTCTTTCTTAGTGTTGCGTGTTAACTAATAATGGTGACTTGCTATTGTCTGCCACTTCACCCAAGTCCCATTATTACTTCAGTGACAGTATGAAAAAAAAAAGCCATAGGTTCTTAAGAGTGTTTTCAAGGGAAGCAATCTCTGATGGTAATAGCAATACATGCTGGACCCAAAGCCATGAGCTCATGAACTGGCCACTCTTCCAGGGTTCCAGGCCAATGAGGCAGAAGAAAGGCAGCAACTCCCAGCACCACTATCATCCATCGACTGTCCAGCCAGCTGCCCGTCAGATCCACCCCGCGGAAACTTTTGATTTTCCTTTTCAAATCTTGCTATGTGGCCCAGGGGGATTTCACACTCACAATCCTCCTGCATCAGCCTCCAGAGCAGCAGGATTACGGGTGTGAGCTCAGGCACCCAGCCTGGGGTACTTTCCTGATCCCCTGGACCTCTATGCAAAGTTCCATTGCAGTCAGTCTAAGATGCTGCCTTCCCGCCTCACCAGCACGCCTTGTCCTCGCTGCCCCATACAGCCCTTGTGTGATCAGAGCCAACAGCCACGGATGTCAGGGTCACTGACTTCCACGCTACATCCCATTCTAAAATCTCATGACACATGAACTCTCACGTCATTTTTTTCTCCAAAAGTTTAGGATCTCTGCATATAAGAGCGCATTCTTGTTTGAGATGCTAGAGTGAGCATACTAAAGGATCGGTTGATCCGATATGCATCTAGAATTTATCTTCTTCTCTTAAACTCTTTCTCCACGGAGCAGAGATGGAGAGGGAGACAATGTTTCAATGGCAAAAGTCCTTTCTACCAGTTAGTGACCCTGGAAAGGGGGGGGTGATTTTAGCCAGGAACAGAATATGTCATCATCTAGACTCCAATGCACCTTACTCTCAAGGATGGCGTGTTCTTGAGCTTCTAAAGCAGGCTTCTGACTATTCGTGCAAGTTCTGAAGCCCGAGTCTGGCTCTGTAGCCTGGAAACTATCATTCCTTCTTAATGCCATTTCTTTTTGAAGACAGACTACCTTCAAATGTCTGCTCTCCACACTGGCACTATCACGGCATCTTTTTGTCAGAGTACACGCATCGACCACATTGCTCCTCCTTCTTGGTTCTCCTGTGATGCTTAACTTACCACCATCACCATGAAACCCGGGGAAGTAACTCCACACACATATACATAGTCTTTACCGTGTGTTCTGAGTCTCGGCTGTGACGGCAACCAACGAAGTGGCATTCATTTTTAGAGGCACACTTTTTAGTGATGGATGTACTTCTTCCGTGGCTAGTGAAGTGATGAACAGTCAAACAATACTGTGTGTCTAGGGAAATTTAACAACAAAAAAAGGCAATTTTATTTCCCATTTTGCAAAAGAGAGCCCCCAACCATCATGCCAGAAATGACTAAAATTCAGGATAATCTTTAGGCTTCTAGGTGAGAAATTCAATAGCTGTGAATGCTAAAGTTTTTAGGTGGTGTTTCAAAAAGGTATCAGCTCCTGGAGTACACATGTGCTTTGAAAATGAATACAAATGGGTAGCCCGTTCCATTGGCATTAACTGGAGCTGAGAAAAATGTGCAGAGTTTTCATCAATTCTTGGGTCTGCTCAGCAAATAAGAGAGTATTTATGCTCCTAGTCTGCCCTTTCTTCCTCTGAAGCATGCATTCTAGAATTCTAAATAAAGACAAGAACTATGAGACAAGAACAAGAAACAATGATTCTGAGAACTTGGCGCCTAGCTCCTCATTTGATTCTTGCAGGCTAAGAGGTGAATGGGTCTCTTGCTACATATCAGGTCTCTCCTCTTTCTTGCTTATTCATATTCTAAGCCTTCTAACAAGCTTGACTCTCTCATCAGTGTATTCCACTCTTCCTGTCCCCTTCGCTTCCTGCTTCCCACTCATGCCTGTTCTATTTAGTTAGCTCATTTCCACAAAGTCAGCCTTACGGCATTAACCACCCATTCAATGACCGCATTCTTCTTAGAAAGTGGTTCGTGTGACATCACAGGATATTCTGTTTGAGCTCTGTGTTTCCTCTGTCGCTATCACACATCATGGAAATGCATGTTGATTTATTCACCATGGATCCCAAAAGCAGCTGACTTGGGGGATATGGACCAAGAATGAGAAGATGGAGTTTTTAGAATTGTCACAAGTAAGTCCTGTTTGATCCTCTGAGATTATTATATTTTTTTAATAAAATGCACTATGTACAGTGGCATTTTGATAACTTTAATAATATTTACAATGGCGAATATATTCATATTGTAGATTGGTAGTCAGTGACCTTCTAACTTGTGTTTATTCTTTCAGTTCTTATAGTGAACCTCTGGAAAGCCATAGACCATATTAACATTCTTTTTGTTATTTTAGACAATAGCTTATTAAGTAGTCCTGGCTGATCTGGAGCTCCCTAGCTAGACCAGGCTGACCTAAAACTCACACAGAGATGATCCTTCTGCCTCTGCCTCCTGAGTGAGGCATTAAAAGCATGCAACACCATCTTGCCTGCTGCCATACAGGCAGGAAGGCAGGATTAACCAAGGTAGGTTTCAAGGGTTTGTGGTCTTAATCGGTATACTGGGATGCCCCCCCACCAGGATACTCAACATTAAATTAGATAAAGGTAGCTGAATTTTGGAGTCTGAAGGAAAAGGAGCCATTCAATGTTCTGGAGAAGGTACTTAAACTCCAAATTCAGAAGAACTGGGAGCTGGGGCTGCTTGTGTTGATCCAGAACACTGCACACATCACACACATGAAATCATCCTCTGACCAGTCAACAAAAAGCTGGTGTAAATAACACAAGAAATACCATGCTATCATGTGCTGTTACTTAGAGACCTTCTTTTGACAACAGTGACAAACCACAAGTGGAGCTTCATAGAGAGAAAGAAAATCTGAGATGACAAAGAACAATAGCCCGGGATGCTTGTCATGAAAGAACGGTTGACTATCACTTCACAAATAACAGCAAAGGGAAGAGTAAGAAATGACACCTCCGTCACAATTCCAGATGGTTAATGTCTTTGAGACTTGAATAGCAGATGGTCAAAAAGGAGCTCTCATGCTGTGCTGGAATGTGAGGTCATTCCATGCTGGAAAGAGAGGGCTTCTCAGGTGGGCTTGGCAGAGACAACAGGCTGCCATTTTTATTATAGCGGACACTGTTAGGGGATGGGAAGCTAAGGTCTCCTTTTTTGTTATCTGCAGTTCAAAAGAGATGCTATTAGGGCTAGAAAGATGACTCAGCCCTTGTTGCTCTTTGGGGGGGGGCTGGGTTCAGTTTCCAGTAGCCATGTGGAAACTAACAAGCATCTACAGTTCCAGCTGCAGGGGCTCCAATGTCTTCTTCTGGTCTCCTTGGACACCAGGCATGCATGAAAAGCACAGACAAACATGCAAGCAAAATACTCATACAAATAAAATAAATTAGTCTTTAAAAGATATTTAAATAAACAAAATAGATGATATCCTAAAACCTGAAGCAGATAAAAGATTTTCATTGATGAACAACACAATGGAGCATTGTATACATAGTAGGCATAGACTTTGGGGGTCAATTCAAAGAACAGCATGATCCATAAAGGGAAAACCAATGAGAAGATAAACTTTAAAGCTATTCTAACCCTTCTATTTGGTGTTCAGAGGAAATTTAGAGTAAGTTGTTAAAGAATGATATCCACTATCTTAAATAAATTAGGAGAAATAGTTATCAACCAACCTTAAAACTAAAACAATTGTTACCAATCTATCTCTTTCTAAGTGTATTTGAAGACCACTCTATGGGATGGAACTCATGCCTGGCACTGTTACCTGGGCCAAAGCCCTATGGCTAGCTAGGTCCTAACAGAGAACCTTCAGTTATTGTTCTGCTAAATGGACATAGTAATAAATCTTCCCTTCAGTTCTTACCTTTATACCTATAGATTAGAGCATCTCTCAACCCTCACCAAAGAATTTTTCTTTTACAGGACAGAGTGATTAATACAGAGACCTACAACGGGTCAGTGTGCAGAGGATAAGAATGTGGAATATTCACTGCTGAATGAAGCAGTTGTATCACAGTCCCTCTTCTCAAGGAAAGAAAGATAACAAAGATTTTAGGAGCCAGGGAGAGAGGGTGTCTGCACTGAAACAGTATTTACCAGTCATGACAGGACCATTGTACATATGAACTCACAGAGGCTGTGACTGATGCAGAAAATCTGCACAATATTGAGCCAAACATGAGCCCAGCATGGGTAGGGAAAGGGCTAATGAAATCCTACTCCTAGCTGAGGAGCTATTGGCAACTGATGGCTGTTTGGTAGGTCCAGTCAGCTTTCTTTAGGATGTGTTCCCTGAGAGGATACTCATGATTCAATAGATTGTCCTTTACCCATCCCCACTAATTGGACTCATTGGATTTTTAAAAAAAGAGCCCATGAAATGGGGAAAGAACAGTGGTGTGTGTGTGTGTGTGTGTGTGTGTGTAGAGGAAGGGGATAAGGGAGAAATAGGAGGGGAGTGAAAAAAATGCTTTGACTAAAATAAATTCTATGCATGTAAAACATTCTAAATACAAAAAATACTTTAAAATAACAGAATATTTTATGAAAAGATGAAAAATTCACACTATCAGACAGACATGTACAAGAATATAACATTTAAGAACAATCATTCTACAGAAATAAAAAAGAACCTCAAGAAAAAAAGATTCTAGTAATTGATTCTTCTAGAAAAGAGGCAATGACAAAACTTGACCAGATGGATGCTGTGGCAATTTGAAAGAGTTGTCATGGTCATGGTGTCTCCTACAGCAATAAAAACCCTAAGACAGAAGCTGGTATCAGGAGTGGGGTATTGCTGTGTTAGACATAACCATACTTTTGTTTAAAGAAATGTGGACCTTGATACTATGTATTATAAAAGCAGATGACCACTTTAAGTTCTGCTTAATGGGCCATTTTAGTAGGAACATGGAAGACAGTAGAGATGAGTATGATTTTATGAACTGTGGGGGCCTAGGTCAAGAGGTTTCAGAGGAGAATAATTTTAGTATGTTGTCTAGATATTGTTCTTGTGATATTTTAGCGAAGAATGTGGCTGCTTTTTGCCCTTGTCTGAAAAGTCTGCCTGAGGCTAATGTAAAAAGTTTTGGATTAATGTGGCATTGGCTAAGAAAATCTCAAAACAGCCTACTATAGACTCTATTTTGTGGTTATTAATGTTAACTCTAATGAAGATTAATAATAAAAAGAAGCAATCTGAGCAAAGAGAATACAAAATGTACAGTTTGAGAAGAAAAGGGGCACCAGGAAGTGGGATGGAGCTAAACACTATGTTCAAGGGAATAAACACATTAAGAAATGGAATAAAGGGAGTTGTGATCTCAGGGCAAGATCCCACCCTATGAGCTTCCAACTTGTGAATAGGAATAAAAGAAAAGCTTAGAGCTGGGTGTGGTGGTATATACCTTTAATCCCAACATGGCAGAGGCAGAGGCAGAGGCAGAGGCAGGCAGATCTCTGAGTTTAAGGCCAGCCTGGTCTATAGATTTTTAGAACAACCAAGTTTAGGCAGTGAAGCAAACCATTGAAAATAGGAAGCTGGTGAAGATGTATTTGAATGAGGGGGCCATGTTCCAGCCCCAGCAAGCAGCAGAACTTGTTGGAAGTTTAGGCTACATGGTGCTAGCTTTAGAATCAAAGAGAGAAGAAAGGTATTATGGAAGCTTCCTCCATGACTAAGGAAAGATGCTGAGGCCATGCATGTGTCATGAGTGGCCCTGAATGAAGGCCTAGGGAGGCCATTACATGAAGCTGTGAAGGTGAAGCCTGGAGACTTCCTTGGACTGCCTTGGAGAACCCAAGATGTCAGGGTCAGATACCTGCCAAGGAAAGCCGCCACAGGAAGAGGAACCAGCCGAAGAGAAAGATGTGTGTTAGAATCAACAAAGCTAAAAGGAGTTGGATATCTAAAGAGCATTTTGACATCAGTCAAAGAAATGTAGAGTTTGGAGTTTGCCCAGCTGGTTTTTTGGTCTTTTTTTGGTCTAGTATTTCCTCACTGTGTTCCCTTCCCTATATTTTGGAATGGTAATATACATCCTGTGCCATTATGTGTTGGAAGTATGTGATCTGGATTTTGATTTTATAGGGATTACAGTTAAGAGACTGCATGAATCTCAGAAGAGACTTTGAACTTTAGACTTTTAAATAAATGTAAGACTGTGAGAGACTATAGGGACTTTTGAAGATGGACTGAAAGTATTTCTACATTATGTTATAGCTACAAGCCTTTGGGAGCCAGAAGTGGAATGTGGTGGTTTGAAAGAAAATGGCCCCCAAAGGGAGTGGCACTATTAGGAGGTAAGGCTTTGTTGGCATAGGTGTGGCCTTGTTGGAGGAAGTGTGTCACTGTGGGGGTGGGCTTTGAGGTCTCCTTTACTCAGTGTGGACAGACTCTGCCACCATGGATAAAGATGTAGACCTCTCCACTCCTTCTCCAGCACTATGCCTGCCTGCACACTGCTATGTCCCGCTGTGATGATAATGGAAGAAACTGACAGATACCCCTATTAAATGTTTTCCTTTGCCAGAGTTGCCATGTTTGTGATGTCTCGTTACAGCAATACAAACCCTAAGACAGAAGTCACAGGTGTACACATTTAACTTAGTAGTGATTCTCAAAATGTAGCCAGCAGGGCTTTCTTTGGGGGGGAGGGTTCCACAGGCTTTTTTTTTAATCTGGATAAAATTAGGCCATTCTACTATTATAAATAATGTAGAATAGAAAGATTCATGGTAACAAACCCAAACCAGCAATTTCTAATTTTGGAAGTCTGATCTCTACTTGTCCTTCTTGGGCCATTGCCTCTGAAAACCTAAAAGTCAGAACAGTCCAGTCTCAATATACTCTCTCAGTTCCAAACTCCTGTGAATTTATTCTATCTGTTTTACTTCCACCTCTGTATGAAAACACTCGGGTTCCTCACAACTCCATTTCCTCCTCCGGGAGCTCCAGCTCCCACCGTCTAAGCAAAAGTAACGACAGTCCCGACCCTACTTGATGGACGCTTTGACTCTGATCTCCACATTCTCCACATAGCAGTCAGAGCAATGTTGCATGTCACAACCAGTACCACCTGTCCTGACTTCCACACTCTATCAGAAAAAGAAACACCTGCACATCTTTGAACGTGGGTGCCTCTCCGATTGTTTCTCCGTCTCCCACTGTGCCATGGTGGCCAATCTGTTACTGGAGAGGCCACACCAGCTATTGAGTCTGGAAGCCTTTACATTTGAGATCTTCCTTCCAGCCACACTATTCCTGCGGCTCTCCATCTGCTTCCCTTGTCTTGGCCACTCAGGTCTCTGGTTTAATGTAAATTCAGAGAAGATTTCCCATGGCTACCCAGGAGCATCTGTTAGCAAGAGTTTACTGAGGGCATATTAGGAGCCAGGCAACAGACTGGGCACTAGAGATGTGTCAGCAAACTACCAAAGATAGTCAGATGTTTGAGGGGGACGTGAATGAGCTTCCCAAGCATCTGTGAATCTCCAGAGTGGAGTACAGAAACCTTTCTTTGCTTTAAGCCAGTAAGTATGACGTTTCTAAGGTATCATCAAGCACCAGACATTTCTGGAATTATCTGAATGCTTTGGTCAACACTGTGGTTTCTGTCTTCTTGCTAAATGCCTTTTAAGAAATTTTTCCTCATGATGCAAACAACTACATGTTGAGGCCGTGTCAGCCATTTCCAGGTTCTCTCTGAATGTTCTGCTGTCTGGATAGTCTTTTCCAAGAAATCCAGGACCCCTACAGCATTCCATTGGGCTGTCTGTCAGTACAGTAAGCTATCTCTTCCAGCTAAGGGAAGGACCTAAAGAGAGTGAGGACACAGAAAATCCAGAAGAGTCTTCCAAGCTTGCGTACTCACCCTGTGGACACCATTTGTCTTCCGCCCAGCGATTGCAATTATAATTATCTCCTGCATTTTCACAGGTAAAACACTTGAAGCTGTTCGGAAATGGTGTGGCTTTAAAGAAAAAGGAAGGACGGTCACAAGGCAATATTTTCAAACATCAAAAATAGCACGAAATTAGCAACTTTGTTAGATGAGATTAAAAACAAACAAGACATCCTCTTGGAATGCCTGTGTTCCTGAAAGCTCGATCTATGCATCTGATTTGTGCTCGCTTCATTTGTTCCCTTCTAGTAAGTACTGCAATCTTCCTTACAGAAAAATGAAAATGGCTCCCCAAGACACTTTGAAAGATCCATGGTATGGTTCTATTACAATTTATCTTCTGAAATAAGAGCGGTGGAGGGAATGGGCAAGGATGACAGTGGCATTTGAGACACACACACACACACACACACGAGATAGAGACAGAGAAGACGGAGCATCATGAATAGTACAGGAAGTGCAGAGTGAAGGATAGCCATGAATACACCTGTGTAAGGCTAGGATGAAGACAGCTGTCACTCCAACTGTGTTCACCAGCACCAGGAAAGCATTTTAAAAGAGCAGAGGAGAAAGGAAAGGAAAAGCATGCTCCACATCTCACCCTCTGACTACTATGTGACCACTTTTAGTGGCAAAACTCTTGTGCACCATCAGTTGTGAGTAACAGTAATGAAGACTCAGGTCCCACTCTCTTCCCAATTTCAAATTTTTTTTAATTGTTAGTTTTTCATTCAATTATTTACACTTCCTTCCCTCCTCCCAATCCCCTCCTGCTCCCCCACATCCCCTCCTCCTTCTCCCGCCCTGCTTGAGAGAGGGCCGAGAATTCTGCCCAGTGGGAAGTCCAAGGCCCTCCCCACTACATCCAGGCCTAGGGAGCTGTGCATCCATATAGGCTAGGGTCCCAAAATGGGTCCCAGAACATGCTGTAAAAACAAGTCCCAGTGCCTTTATCAATGGCTTCTCAGTCAGCCCCCATTGTCAGCCACAATCAGAGTCCGGTTTGATCACATGCTCATTCAGACCCCCAATTTCAAATTTTCTGATGAGTTTTTAAATAGTGTTAATGGCCATTTGAAAGAGTGGGTGTATCGCTTCTGCAGAAACTTTTCATAGCTGGGAATCTTCTCTGATGAAGTCAACAAAGACCTCTGGACTTCCTCCGCTAAGCCACGATTAGAGACAGTGCTCACACAAGCGACATGAGAACCATAACCCATACTTACGGTCAAGAGGGGGCCTCACGTTGTAGAAGTTAATGTTCTTGGCAAACGCCCAGTTTTCTGAGAAGATCAAGATCTGAAGGATGGTCACAGCTAGCGCGTGGCAGAGGAGCAGCATTCTGACCTCCCGCATTGGGCAGGCCCAACTCATATGTCTGCCATAAAACACAGACGGGGTCAGTTCACTTGTTTCTTATACATCAATGTATAAGGATCTTATACATCTGCTTCTGCTTCAAAAGAAGCAGTTATTCAACCTGTTGAAAAGGATCAGTATCACAAGTGTCATTAAGAATAAAATTAAGCAATCACTGTCTTCTACTGTCCGGCTGAATTTCAACTGGACATCTGGTGACCCTCTCTGTTCAGGAACACAAGCACTGACCTGGCTATTCCAGGTTCCTTCTGTGTCTGGGGCTAGCTAGTTGATGCTATGCTGAATCATGCAATTTTTTTTTCAATCAAGCCTGGTTGCTGGTTTATTTACCTGAAGTCACTAAACCACTTCTTTCTGAAAATCCTTTCCCTGAGTAAACAGAGGCACTTGATCAATTTTGCAACCCCATCAAATCCTGGGAGGAACCATGAAAGTAAAGCTGGTGGAGCAAACACTAAGCCATGCTCAATAAGTCAGGACTCAAATCTCTGCTGCTCCCGGAGCTTACACATGCAGAGAAGAGAAGGGAAGAGAAGGGAGCATCGCTTGAGGTGGCTGCTCCACCAGCACCTGCTGCACTGGCTGCAAGGACAAACCACCAGAATGCTCCAGAGGAAACAACCCGAGTTGAATGCTGGGAACGATCTAATGATGCCCTTGGTCCGCAATCGCTGTTGACTGTGTTCATAACTTTGAGCAGATGGGACTGAAACTTGATGGAATGACAGATAGGCACACAGTGCTGAGTAAAGGACATGATATTTGGGGGCCCCTAGAACCCACAAGTTCTACCCTGGGAAGCCAGCCTGGGGGAGTAGTTAAAAGTGCAGTCTCATCATGGACAGGCTGTCTGGCCAGGGAAAGGGGAGTGTGGGCTGCAGAACACAACATGTGGCGTGGACTCTACAGGTTCAGGTGCTGGCTCTGCTGTTTATTAGCTTCTTGACCTTGGGCGAGCTCCTTAAACTCTATTAACCTCAATTTCCTCACCTGTAAAACGGCTTAATAATACCCACCCTACCCACACATGGGGATAATTGTGAGCATCAAATACAGGTTCAGATAGAATCACATAGCTCTGAATGAAGCACACATAATAAGAGTTCTGTGGAAATGCTGGAGTTCAATAGAATTGGCCAGACTCATTTTCTTCTTGCTGAATCAACCGGTCTCAGTGACTCAGGGAACTTTTCAAAGGAAAAAAAAATGGCTTGATATTCGCATATCCATGTGATCCTTCACATTAACTCTTGATATCTGCATATCCATGTGGCCCTTCACATTAACTCTTGATATCCACATATACATATGGTTCTTTACATTAACTCTTTCTGAAGTCGCAGCGACAGTGTGTGGATTCCAGGATTTTTCTTCTTCTCTTGTGATTTTTGCACGTAAGTAACATGTAAGCAGGGGTACTGAACTGACTGTCAGATAAAGTCTTGCCTTCCCTCCAGAGGACCTTTGTGAAGGCAAGACCGAGACGCTAAGGGTGTAGCCAGTGAAATAAAGCATACTGTTATAGAATTTCTAAGAATACAATAGGGCTAAACTTTATAGATTTTGTTTTGTTTACGTCAGCACATAGACCCAGAAATATTAAATACATTTTTCCAAATTCACTTTAGTAACCAAGATCGAAATTCTAGCGGTCATGTTTCCACATTTCTTATGGTCTTCCTGAAGAAACAGACATTGTCAAATCAAGTGGTTATGTGGAAACACAATTCTGCTTTTCCTATTCACACATTTAAACTGGTCCATCCCAAAGTTACAATGAATCTGTAGCCGAAGGATAGAACCCAATATTCCAAGAGAGACTCTTTAAAATGGGGAGCTGGGTTCTCATCCCCCTCCCTGGAAACCTCAGAAAGCCTATGCTGTAACAGCCATCCACATCACTTTTGTAAGATGGGCAAGGCTCCTAAGAACACGGATTTCAGACTCCCATTGTCTGCACTTCAATTCTCTTTCATCAATAAGCAGCTATGGGACCTTAGACATGTTGCTGAAGCTTCCCAATTCCAGCTTCCCTCTCTGTAAAGCAATCATACCAATAACTGTTTGGAAGTGAGGTTTCCATGGCCTCGTGCCTATAAGACTGAGACTGAGTGCTGAGCTACAGTTCCATGTTCATCTAACGCTTTCTACTGGACGGTAAAGAGCATTGATTCAAATACCAGCTTTTAGACCCTTCTTGTGATGCCTGGGTCAAACTCATTAACCTCTCTATAGCACAGTCTGGTGTCTGTGAAATGGGAGTAGTGATGCTGCCTTGTAATGCTATGGGAATAGAACTGGCTAAGGGACATACAACATCTGACCTATTTAGTTAATTGTGTACCTGAATTTTGACTAATGCTTGCAAGCATTTATTGCTGTGAACAAATTCCCAGTTTAAAATTACAGATTAGAATCCCTGGTTTCCCACTGAAACCAAAGCTCATTCATTCATTCAGCATGTCATTGTGGACATCTACTGCGGCGCATGCATTGTTCTTAGTGACTCCCCACTGATGCCTTTTCCTCTCATGAAAACTGCACGTTGGAGGGAGAAGGCAACACAAAGCGGAGGGGTCCATTATTTGAGCCAGTTGTAAGTGCCACAAAGGTGAAGCAAGAGGGTGGTAACTGGGTAGGAAGGGAGGGGTCTGTATCAACGTGACAGTCTGTGCACACCTCTCTGAATAAGTGACATCTGAGCAGTTGAATAATTACATGAGGAGAAGAAACAAGAGCTAAACCATAAAGCAACCTTGAGCCTATGGAGGGAATTGCAGAAAACGGGTCTGGACGGCTGGCTCAGTGGATAAGTGTACTTCCTGTACAAACATGAGAGCATAAGCTCAGACCCACATAAAAGGACAGGTACCCCACAAAGGTACCAGGTACACCCCTTGCAGGCCTAGAACCCCAGCAGTGTGTAAATGGAGACAGGAGGATTGATGGGGCTTGCTGGCTGTCAGTCTGGCTCCTAGGATCTCACTGAACAAAGAAAGAAGTGAAGGACGATAAGAGTAGGGCATCTAATTTCCTCCTCTAGTTCTTGCATGCACACACAGGCATGAGCATCCATGCATACACACACACACACACACACACACACACACACACACACACACACACTAAAAAGGGTAGTATCGAGTGTGCCTGGAGCCCGAAGTATACTTGTTGCGGGAGTGGACAGACAGTCAGGTCGTGGATGAAACTATTTCTTGTAGGCACTTGCCATAAAGATTTGGATCCAGGAAAATCAAGACGTTGAAAAAAAGACAACACAAATGTTTTGTGTCTCTAGAGACATTGGTCCCAAAGCCCTGGCTTTGTTTGCTGCTCCTGGAATGAAAGGGAAGCAAGTGATTGGTGAGGGCAGAGGAAGGCGGAATTCAGATCCACCAGAGGGTTCAAACTACTGAATGGAGATGGTGAGATGACTCGGTCGGTAAATGCTTGATGAATGTGATCGCTAGCAACCGTGTAAAAAGCCAGGCAGAGCAGCGTGTGTCTATAATTTCAGCATGAGAAGATGGAGACAAGGAGATCCCTGGAGCTAAATGGTCAGTCACCCTAGCCCATCAGTGACATCCAGGTTCAATAAAAGACACCATTCCAAGTAAGGTAGAAGCGACCTTGCCTTGTGACCATCACAAGCACAAGCATACCTGTAGATGTCTATGTATCCCCCACACCTTCACAAATCTAAGCATAAGACTTGTTTTTTGGATTCTCCATGCTCAAAAAGAGTGCTGCTGAAACTGGGTCATTACCATTGTGCAACTGGGGAAACTGAGACTCACAGGCATACCACCACTGACTGAGTAGCCCCTCAAAATTTTCCACGTGGTACCATCTGACTATTTGCGAAAGGCAAAATGAAGGGTTTGAGTTCCATGGTGCTGTGTCTACACAGTCAGAACGTATTTTCATTTCCACTTCAAAGTGAAGCAGCACAGCCTTATTCCGGCAACAGTCTCCAAGACCAAAAAGGTTTGCCTCTCAAATGAGGAATGAACGAAATAAAGGCGCCTTCTAGCTCCTGAGCAGGCTTTATAAGGTATTATCATCCACTGTCTCCTGAGCAATGCCTAGCTCCGTCTTCTTCAGTGTACGGGTTTGTATTTCCACAACTGTTGTTTTTTACAAGCAGGCCGCATTGGGGCAACGAACAGGACAAGGGTTAAACAGAGTGTCGTGGAGTTGCTGGACATTGAGAATCACTGCACAGGACTAAAGCACATCTGTGGAGACCTTGCTGGGCAGGCACGCTCCCCTCAGTCTCTGTCACAACCAAGGTGACAGAAATGCTTGTCTTTCGTGCCACGGAGGAGGTGTGTTCCAGGAACCCAGCATGTGTTCCCAGCGAACCCAGCTGTTCGCTCCGTGGCCGTCACACGGACTACTGTTACTCCACCATGTAGGATGAGGGGTAACCCAGGAGGTTCCTACAGTGATTGGTAAAACTGTACATGTAGATATTTCCCTGGGTGGAGGAGCTCAGAGGGTTCCGAGAGCCACGTAATGGTGAAATATTGCTGTTTACTGCTTCAGAATAAAGCGGTGGATGACTTGGCTTCCTGGGAGAATGTTCATTATTCTGACACTAAAACAAAGGCTCCACTGTGCACCGTGGATGCGTGTCTACCACCCTTAACACTCAACAGAAGCTCAAAACATCTTTCTCCAAGAGAGCTGACTGCTTTCGTCCATGTTTTCCGGAGACAGGCTTGGACAGAAACCCCGTGTGTGTGGTGCCGGCCTTCCCTGTGCTTTGAGTCCCTTCTTTGCTCCAGAATGCAAACAGCTTCTTTGCCAGGAGAGGGGAGAGACTTCTTCCAGGCATATGTGTAGAGATTCAGGAAGCAGCTCTCAGGCATTCCAGAGAATGGCAGGTAGCCAGATTTGAAGTGAAGGAACCCCCACTCCTCAGACTGGCCCATACCTGCCCAGAATAAAAGACTTGATTCACGGGAGGGCCTGTAGTTCAGAAGCAGAACAACT